ACCCCTGAACCAAGAGACAAATCAAAAATAATGTTTTCAAAAATTTCAATTACAAGAGTTCTGCCTTATGAAGACTGGGGACAGAAACCTTGGGAAGAGAAGAGACTTCGTCTCTCAAAGACAATTTTACCTGTCAAGAAACTTTCAATTATTTTGACTACCAGAATGCTTGGTATAAGGTCTTTCTTTTCAGACCTGTTACTCATTCTTGGTTCATTATTTTTAATCAAAATTGTAACCCTCATTTTTCGAGTTGGTTTCAAACATGATTTTTGTATCATGGACTTGAAGAACAAATTTTACCCAGTCTAGTTCTTCAAGGATATGAATACTTCAAAAAAGAAGCAAAACCTTTTCTAAAGTTTCAAGAAAATTTTTTGTTTCAGTTCGCATTCAATATGAGAGTTTCCTGGATTTTTTGCTGGGATTTCTTTCAATATCAAAATTTCAAGGATGATTACTCCTGTCAACAAATTACAAGGAGATTCAAGATTAAATGGTGGGCAAAGTTTAAAGAAACAAACTGTTGTCCAAAAGCTGTTCAAGCATGGATTCAAGAACAAAGAAATTTAGGAGTACCTAAATTTTCAAAGAAAGAACAAGAAGATCAAGCTGATTTTTGACTAAAAAACAAAGAATCATTTCAATGTTATCAAAATGTAAAGATCCTAAAGAATTGTTAGAAATTTACGATCAAATTTCTAAACAAGGATCTTCAAAAACAAATGAATCAGATCAAGATGAAGAATCTCAATATTCTCAAGAGACTGACAATGGTGATGACTTAGATGATCTAGGTGATGACTATGCCGAGTATGTTGCTCAAGAGAAAGCTGCAAAAGCTTCAAAGAAATTTTCAAAATGACTACATGGACCCAGTTTTCTCGATAAATTAAGAAAATTCAGGGTTTACAAATCAAGAGAGATTTTGCTTAATCTTTTTCCAATTCAAAATCAATGGTGCAACATTTGTCAAGATTCCCATCAACTTTGTGTCAGACATCAGTATCCCTTTTATAAAGAAAAAAATTATCTTTATTAAAGGAAGTCAAAAATTGGAAACTTTTGACTAAAGTTGATGCTGCTTTTTAAGAAGCTTCATTATGATGTCGTCCACTTCTCTTTTCAAGATTCTTTCTCTCAAATGAAAGAAATTTCAAGTCCGGACTTCATTATAAATCAACTGAAGATTTCAATTTCAAGACAGAGCAAATTCAGCAAGAAGAAGTTTTACTTTTCTTTGTAATTTGTTCTCTCAAATACTTTTCAATTGTAATATTTAAATCTTCTTCAATTTTCAATAAAATTATCTATTTTCATAAATTTCTGTTCTTCTATTTCATCTCCTACTCCCCTGGGTCTAAAATAAATTATCTATTTTCATAAATTTCTGTTCTTCTATTTCAACCTCCTAGATAATTTCTGTTCTTCTATTTCATCTCCTGCTCCCCTGGGTCTAAAATGGTATCAGAGCCATAAGTGAATAAGTGAGAGTGATTTAATTTTATACAATTTAGTACTGTTCAAAATAGGTGAGTCTGGTTTTAACCTGGATGTCTGCTGAATAGACGTTGGTCAGCCCTGTAGACGTTGGTCAACCGTGTTAGGTGGTCCCGTTTGTAGGCTTGGTAAGAACCTTGTTTATCTATTTTTACTGTTCTTTTTGTGTAATTTTAATTTGATTTCATTTTTCAAACATGTCTTCGGTTTCTAATTGGCTAAGGAGATCTAGGTCTAGAAACAGATCACAAAATCAAAATGAAAATAGTTCAAATGTTTTTCAAAATGAAGAAGAAGTTGACAATGCATCAAATTCATCTGCATCAAATGATTTCAATTCAAACGAATTTCAAATTGCCAAAATTGAACAACAACTTCAAAATTGGACTATTCCAAAGATAGATAAACATTCTATCTACGAAATAGGAAAATTTGATTTTACTCAAAATTATGTTATCAAAACTTTTGAACAAACTGTTTCAATTAATTGTTCAAATGCATTCATCAATTTATTTTCAAAGATTTAAATATCTTCATGTTGGTTTAGTTCAAATTGCTGTCAAACCTTTGTTTAGACTTGGTTTAGACATTCCAATTTTAATTACTCTTAGAGATAAGAGACATCTCAATTTCAAAAACTCTCTACTTTCACTTCTTGAATCAAATCTTGAAAGTGGTCCAATTTTTTCAAATTGTTACCCAAATTTCTCAATAAAACTTTCAAATGGAGCAGTTTTAAATGCTCTAAATCTTCATATTCAGACTAAAAATCTTGAGTTTGATAGTCGCTCAAATGCTTTTGCTGTTATTTACATAATTTATTACAAACTTATGAATACTCAACTCAATATTGGTGTTCTTAGATTTTCTCCAAAAGAAGAAAGTCTCTTTGTTGAAGTCAATCCTTTTCATTCAAGTGTCGAAATTCCTAAAAGAATTCCTTAGAATCTTCAATCCAGAAATTTAGAATGAAATTTTGATAACATTCAAGCTCCAATTCCAGCTCAAACAAAATGATGAAGATTCAATTGCCAAATGGTTCCCATAGTTCCACCATCTCTTTGACGAAGTCCCTCCTTACTGACATAACTTTCAACATTCAAATCAAATAATCTCAAACAAATACAAGTATTTATTGCTGGGTTTTGATATATGGGTTATAAAACACACTTTTGGCTCCTTTGATTTCATTACTTGATATAAATTGCTCCATAAGTAATAAAATGTTAAATAATTGATTTTAAAATGCTATTTTAATTAATAAAATTTTTTATGAGATATTTAAATTTATTTATTTATTCTTTTATTTTGGGACAACTTGGTTTGACATCGATTGACCATTTGATCCTTGACCCTTTAACATTTTCGAGTTGATGATCAGACTGATTTTTAGAACATTGAATCGGTTTGGGTATCAAGTGGGCCGGTTTGAGTATTTCTATACCTAGAACCACCCATTATATTTTGGGTATTTTGCAAATAGAATCATTCGGGTCCTTGTAATTATTGGAACCAAACCCAAATCGAAATTTTTGGTTTTGATTCGATTTTACCCATAACATTTTTTATATACATTTAATAAATATTGTATATAGGTCCTTCCAATACGTATATTCAACATGCTACTACTCAAAAATATTTGTGCTTGAGAGAAAATTTAGCTAAAAAATCTTCAAAAAGCATAACATTGGAAACTAGAAACCACGAAAAACATCAAAAATTAAATTATAGTTTGAGAAAAAATTTATTTTTTCATAATTAAATCTTATTTTATCCATAAGTGAGGCATGCTATAGTTTATAATTTAATTATGGATGATCCTTAAATTCTTATACCATTAAAAAGGACTAACACGAAAATATTAATTAGATACATAGTTATATAATATCAAGAAATTGCAATCCACATATTAAACTCGTTATTTTTGAATTAAAAAAAAAATTCTAAAGATAACCATGAACTCAATAGAAAAGGTATACCATGACCAATGCTACAAATATATCAAGTTCAATTTGACACACTTTAATTAAAAAAAAAAAAGCTTAAGTTTGTATATAATGCAAGAAAATAAAAAATTCGAATTGCAAAGAATGAAAGATTTAATTAATCACTTTACACCACAGTCTAGCTTGAACTTCTTGATATATAAAAAGCTTAAATTACAAAGATTAACAGTACCATCCTCTGAAACGTGACAATCTTATATGGTGTGAGAAGCAAAAAAATAGAAGTCAGTCTTAATTTCTTAGCGTTAGAGTCCAGAGACTTGGACAAATTAATATTCAAATTAGGGTTTTTAGGTTTTATTTGTTTATTTTTTTACCCAGCTTATAAATTGTAAAAAAAAAAAAATCATATTAAAAATCGGTTCCATTTGAATATCTACGATTCTAGTTCAAGAACCAAAAATTGACCTAGACCCAATCGGTTATTGATTATCCATTCCGGTTCTTAATTTTTTTGACACTGTATCGAAATCTTCAATTACAATTCAATTTTATTTCGAAAGGTTCGATCTTGATTAAAATGCCTAGCCTAAGTCCTGACATTGTTCATAATTGCTATGTAAATGGATGATTAAAAAATATTGCCCTTGTTTGAGCCCCATTTGAGGCGAAAAATGTATTTTTGAATAGTGTATTGATTAAAAGTGTGTGGTTAAAAAATATGAAAAAAATTCAAATCTGCGTACAATATTATTTTATTGAGAAATGTGATTGAAATGATGTCAAAATATTATTTAAGAATCCATTTCATAAAAAAAAAAAAGAAAAAAAAAAAGAAAGGGGGGACTCAAACAAGGGCATAAAGTTATATAAGGAATAATCGCAGCAGTATTCCATAACCTTTTCATTTTTTGCATACTTTATTTTAAACTTCATTTTGTACCAGCAAAGGTTTCTAACATTTCATAAATATGCATTGAGACCCATTTAGATGGAAACCTTCCAAAACACAATTAGTTGATTGGAAAAATTCCTTAAACTTTTTACTATTTCAGTAGTTTTATTGGATGTTGATACCATTTTGGACGGTATTTTAAACGGCTTTATTAGATGTTGATTTCTTAATTTTTTCGATCAACTAACGGTATTTTGGACAGTTTCTGTCAAGACGAATCTAAGGTGCACATATATGAAAGATTAGAAACTTTTATTGACACAAAATGAAGATTAGGGTCAAGTCTGCAAAAAATAAAAAGATTAAGGATCGCTGCTGTAATTTTCCCAATAAGAAATCCCTGTTGACAAGTCGGTTAACCACTTAACCTGAGCTAAACGTGAATCATGCTCAATGAATTCATAGCCAGATCTGTACTCAAAAGATTGGATCAATATGAAAATATTTCTGAAAACAACTGCACCAGTCAGAATCAAATCAATATAATTTTATTTTCTTTCATGAAATTACCAAACCACCCTTCTTGACTGGACCCAATACAATAAACCTGGTCGTGTATATGGATTGAACATGTAGGGATAAATTTGTCTTTACGCTCTTCGGACATGCCAGCTTTAAATGTGAGGTTGGAATTATTTTCCATTTCGCCTTAGAATTTCGTTTTAGAGAAAGAAGAGAGAAAAAAAAAAAAAAATGGGTTCTCTTGGGAAGGTATGCATTTCTAAAATCTCAATTTAAGGTTTTCAATGTTTAATTACTGTAAATCTCTAGTTAATTGGCTATTAGGTTTTCTAATCTTGATCTTTGATTGATTCATTTTGTTTCTCAAAAGGAATAATATTCCGTTCCTCATATCAGGAGCTTCACGTGTTTGTATCTGTATATGTATACCTTGTAAGCTAAATTTTATATAGGACAAAATACGGAATTTTGATTTGCTCAATTAGGTTGGTTATGGCTTAAAATTATGATGGACTGGTATTATCTGCTTGAACAATTGCGTTGTCCTGTTCTTTTTGACCTTCTTAATTAACTAACTAAGCTTTACAGAATTGTTACGGGTTGATCTAGAATTTAATTCTCGAGGACTTTTGACAATTCTTTTCAAGATGGTTCTTTGAAGTAGCGTGTGGACCACAAAATGAAGAGTTGGGGGCGGCGGCGGTAGGGGAGATGGTTTAGTTTTTTGACCCTCCCACCTTAATTCTTCCAACCTAGCTAAGAGTGAAAAAGAAGAGAATTTTGCGAATTCACTCGTGTTTTTAGTTTTTGTTTCTGTAATTTGCTTGAGGCTATTTAATATTTCATGGAAGGTTGGAAATGAGATTGTTTTTAATCATTGGCATCAAACCTCTGAAACACTATGTTTGGAAAAACTCCTTTTATTCACAAATTTTGTGTTCCATTGAATTATTATCCAAATTCTTTTATAAGGGTATACCTATTTGGTGTTAATAAAATTTTCAGCTTATTTCCATTCTGAATTCTGGAAAATAAAAACTTAGTGCAATATACTTTGTAGTGATTTTCTTCGAACATCCTAATTTGGATGTTTTAACTAATGAAGTGTTGATTATCATTGTCATGAATTATTATTTAGAATTCTTCTTATTTTCTGTTTGTGAGTAAGTGTTGTCCTGTATATTAATAACTTGTAGATGGTCTATATGTTTCTATCAATTAATTTTTTTTTCTTACTATAAAGCCAAGAAGCTGCTCCAATAATCTGTAAGCGGTTTTCCATTTTTAGTGTTTTTTCTTTGTTAGAAGCAGGAAGCTCGATGTGTTTTTTCTTAATTCAGTTTTGATATTTGAAGATTGTGTCCTACTATTGCCTCCCAAGTTTATATTACGAATACGACTTAGGTTGTGTACAGCTCCTCTGACATCCACCACTATAAAATATGTCCGTAATGCAGTTGTCAATCATATTTACCACTTAGAAGTTCGTTTCTTTATGAACTTCCATGAAGCAGATCAAAAAGAGATATGCAACTTAAATTTGGTTTCCTGCAGGATGACAGAGAGGAAGTTATACAGGCATGGTACATGGATGACTCTGATGAAGATCAAAGGCTCCCACATCACCGTGATCCAAAGGAATTTGTGTCCTTGGAAAAACTTGCCGGTACATACCCTTTGATGTTGCAATTAATCATTACAATTTTTTATTTTTTTTTAAATATTTAAGCCATCTTGTAAATTTTTCAGAGCTTGGAGTTCTTAGTTGGAGATTGGATGCTGACAATTATGAAACAGATGAAGAGTTGAAGAAAATTCGTGAAGCTCGTGGATATTCTTACATGGTATGCCTAGACGATATAAATGAAGCAAAAATTCAAGCTATAGATAGCTGTTTTTAAATAATTTATATCGAATATAATTTTTTGTTTTTCTGTGAAATCATGTATAATGGGATTAACAAATATTTTTAGGACTTCTGTGAGGTTTGCCCAGAAAAAATGCCCAATTATGAGGAGAAGATCAAGAACTTTTTTGAAGAACATCTTCACACGGATGAGGAGATCCGCTATTGTGTTGCGGGGAGCGGTAAGATTAAGCCTCCATTTGGATATTAATTTTAGTCACGCATTCATAACTACTACTCATTAATAACCACACATTTCGTAGGACCCAAAACTGTTACTCTATAAATATATGATGAAGTTGACAATGATTTTCCTCTGCTTGCTGTCCCTGGTACCTCAAAGTAATTTCTTAATGTTGTAGGTTATTTTGATGTGCGTGATCGCAACGAGGCTTGGATTCGCATCTGGGTGAAGAAAGGAGCTATGATTGTTCTGCCTGCAGGAATATATCACCGCTTTACCCTAGATTCAGACAACTATATTAAGGTACACTTCAAAGGAGCACGCTTCACATTTCTTACACTGAATTGCAATCAGATGTTAAATTAGGATCCAAAATTTGCGCTACTGCATTTTTCTGTGTCTTTTCAAATAGAAAAAAATAAAAATAAAAATTAGAAGAAAAGCAAAACCAGGTTGCCTGGGGAGAGATGATGACATACTTGATACAACGTCTAAATAATGAATTTGTAGTCTTACGGTCTGTGTACGTAAATATAAGCACGGACCTATAATCATCACTTATATTGGCTCACACTATTTATTGTTAAATTTCTCTCTCGTCATTTCCATGTTACTGGAATATAATATGTGAATAAGCACTTTTAAAACACTAACCATAGTTGAATGTGTGATGTAAGTTATCCTGAAATGCTTTATAGGCGTTATAGAAATAATATTTGAATATGTAAGAATATAAGAAATTATTAATACAAATTGTATATGTGGGATGAACTTTTGATTAAAAATGAAATAAAAATCAGTTTGTGAAAATAATTTAAATAGTTGAGGAAGTCAATTAGAAGTCCCTAAGTATCCTTTTGATCTGAACTGAACATCCAACGAAAACTATTCTTTCTTCATAAACGTTTGATATATACATTAAATATATCAATTGAAATTATTTATTATAGATACGCATTATGCTTCCCATTTATCTTCTCTGTATCTTAACATTTATTAAATAAATCAATTGGAAAAAAACTCTTAAAATATTCTTCTTTTGTTCCAAAAAATATTTAATGAATTTAATTTACTATCCAATCAAGTGGAATGGATTTGTCAAATATACATTGATCATAACTAAATAATTGACAAAATAATTCATGATAATATTGTTGAAATTATTAAATAAATCAAATACATATTGAAAAATGAGAAGGTAATGAATATGTCGAATATGATTAAATATATTAAATGAATATTGAAAAACGAAAAGCAAGGTAATGAATGTATCAAATGTATTCATTATAACTAAATAGTTAACAAAATAATTAATGATAATATTGTTCAAATGGTTCAAATAATTAATAAATTAAATACATATTGAAAAACAAAAAGTAGGGTATTATTGAAATGATTAAATACATATTAAAAGCGAAAAGGAAGAAATTATTGAAATAATTGAATTATTATCAGGATAGAATTGTCCAAAAAATGATTCTTACTTGATGTGATATTTAATATACTATAGACCATAGATTTGTTGTAGTATTTAAGATGCATTAATTGACCATAATACGTGCAGGCAATGCGGCTTTTTGTTGGTGATCCCATTTGGACTCCATTCAATCGCCCACATGATCATCTACCTGCAAGGTATAGTCAGTTTGCACCACCCCCACCAAAAAATAAATAAATAATAAAAAAAGAGAAGGATGGAGGGAAAATAAATAAATAAATAAAAAAAATGGAAAACGAATACCAGTAGAAAAAGTATCTGAAGTGATATCCAAAGCGCGGAACATACACAAGGAAATAGAAAATAAAATGGAGTTTTGGGTAATAAAATGAATGTTTATGTGCAGGAAGCAGTATGTGGACACTTTTGTGCAGAAGGACGCTGCTGGACATGCAGTTGGGGCTGCAGCTTAAAACCGCCTTTTACAAAATCTTGGAAACTATTGTCTTTAAGCATAAACTTAGCCGTATGGAGTTGCCGAATTTGTGTACCTTTGGTTGGACGTATGGCTTGTGTGTTATTAAATAAAATAAATGTGTTTTGACTTAAATCTGCCATTTATTAAATACAGACTGCTAAAGTGTGCGCATGGAACTTGTACTTTTAATCTTGGAACATGAATTTAGCTTGTCATATGTGTGTATCTTCCGTGACAATGTATGGATTAATTCAGTGGTTTCATTATCATATCTTTGTAAAAGTTTTTCCTCGTGTATGTTTGATGCACTGTATTGGATAAGAGGATTAGATAAGTATTATTGAAGTAAGGATGAGGCAACGAAGAATTTGTCTGTTATGTTGAGTCCTTGTTGAAGCCCCATTTTCCAAGTACTCAATTTGGTTTTCAAACTCTTTTTTAATCCATACATTCTCTCATTAAAATAATTTTACGTATAATCCAATTTTATTTTTTTTATTTTTTATTATTTTTTTTTTAGAACATGCCATTTAAGCTCATTTGATAACCATTATTTGTGAAAAATGGAGTTTTGAATAGTGATTTTTAAGAGAATATATGGTTAAATAGTAGGAAAAAATTTTGAATTTACGAGTGAATATGTGATTGAAAATGAATACGTAGAAAAAATAGTTTGAAGATAATGATTGTCCAATGAAGGCTTGATATGACAAAAAGTAGCATTTCAGCCGTTTGGGTTCAAAGTGCTGGTTCAGCTCGGCCCATGACTGGGTTCTTGGGCTGTAACTTGTTAAAGCCCAGTCCATTAACAAAAATGGCCAGACCAGACCAGCCCAGCAAGCCTCATTTCACAACTCCAATTGTGATGTCTAAAACAAACTATCAAAGCAAGATGATAATGACGCTAAAGAAACAAATTACTCTCCTTTAACTTAAGCTACAGTCTCCTTGTCTTTACATATACCTCAGTGGACAAAAACAAAAAAATTGAATAGTGTTAAAATATAAGAATATAAAAAATGTATACAACATATATAAATTATTCATAAGACGTTATAACCATAGTGGTCGTAATAATTATATACTTTATTCTTATTGTAGTTGTCCTCTTGTTCAAGATCTCTTTCTTTATGTTGTATGGGTTTGCCGTCGTTATAAGAGTCTGGATTAGTTCGACTATTTTTGGCATCCTCTGAAATTACCTGTTGAAACAAACAGGAGGAAACAAAACTTATTGACAGATATAAAGATAATTTTTTTTTTTTTTTTTTTTTTTTTTGTCCCCATCGAGAACAATTAACATAACAATAACTTAAGGAAACTTGAGAGATTAAGCGAATAAGGTTCTTAGGATTGAAAAGAAAGAACTGGATGTATATAAATTACAAAGTAGAAAATCTACCTAGACAGCTCCTAGAAATAGGCTACTTAATCTTGAAATTTAATAGACTTCATTGATAGTTCTGAGAAAGAATTAACACCTACTTTAAACATTAGAGGATTTTGTCAATAGTTCAAAATTTTGATATTCATTTTTTGATTATGATCTTCAAACTATTTTTTCTACATATTCATTTTCAATTACATATTTACACGTAAACCCAAAATTTTTTCCTACTATTTAACCATATATTCTCTTAAAAATCACTATTCAAAACTCTATTTTTCACAAATAATGGTTATAAAATGAGCTTTAATGTACTTAATCTTGAAATTTAATAGACTCCGTTGATAGTTCTGAGAAAGAATTGACACTTGAAATGCTGAATTAGGGATCATATTTCATGCTGTCAAGAAATGCAGATGCTACTTGTTTTGTTTTTGAAGATAAATTCATCTTTATTTAAATTGAGTGAGTCAAGTCCTTTTTATGTTCTTGCAAATTATAGCCATCATGGGAAATAATAGGCGGCTCAAATGACTTGAATACTTTAGGCAAAATTGTTGAGCGGTTTTTTCAAAAATAATAGTAGTAAGTTAATCGAGCATATGATCAATGGCAGAAATTTTAGTTGATCGTCGTCAATATTAATGTGGATGACTAAAATGGATAGCAATATATATCGATAATGCAGGCAAAATTAGCAACAAACCATTGGTGATCAATGACACTCCTTACGAACTTCAATGATTACTACTGACGATAATGGCGATCTTGTTTGTAATCACTAATGGCACTTTGGTCACTGATTGTCAACGAGAAATCTACAAATAAATTTTAATTTCTTAAATCTTAATTTGATCCAAACCACTGTACTAAACATGCCAGCAATGTCTGCCTTGTCGACTAATACGTGTGATCTATTTATTAACACAGTTACTATCAAATACTGTTTAACGACAATGCAGGCATGCCATCCATAACAACCGTCAACCTGTTAAATGTGAACTTCAAATTAAGGTGTCATTTATTTTCACTCATTAGTATTAATAGAACGATTTAAGTTCCCCTAGTTAACTTGGAATAATTTAGTAATTTAAATAAATTTATCAAGGCATTAAAATGAATGGAAATTTATTAGGGTTGGACAAAACTTCTGAATCGAACCGACTGAACTGGACCCGAATCGAACCTAGCGGATCTTTTGAAGTTAAATATCCGAATGAACATCTGAATCGTGAACTGATGGGTTCGATTAGGTTCTTGATTCTAGAAAAAGAATCGAAAAATCGAATCTCCCTAATTATTTAATTTTTCTAAATAAATTTGCTAACTAGTTAATTTAACTCAAACATAAAAATATGATTCTCCTATTTCTAATTTTCAGTCCAAACGTAACTTAATCAAATTGATTTAAGTTTTATCCAAATCTATTAGTTTAGGGTAGTGTTGTTTATACCGTTTTAAAAAATTGAATTGAAGCTCAAGGATGTCTCTTTTTTATTATTGCGATCTCACTATTTTTTTATTTATGTGATTTTAACAATTAAATCTATGAAGAACCCATAAAGAAAGGCACAAAAAACACATAAGATCGATCTACGTTGTTTGGTAAGAGCTAAAATTGAACATGTCATTAGTTAAATTAATGTAACTTTGTAATTATTAAAAAAATTAATTATATTATAGAACTTAAGAATTGAATGGAACTGAATAGAACCTAATCGAATGGAACCGAACCCGAACAGTTCGATACTTAAATTTGAACCTAACGGTTTTGCTTACTAAATACTCAAAAATTTCGTGTCCAATTTGATTCTCATTAGAATAAAATCGAATCGAACCACACCTAGCATACAAGAATAATTCTGCATGTACAGATTACAATATTACAGAAGTTGCCCAAAAATTTCACATGTATGGGCCCATGTGATGATAAAAAAATATCCCACCCACCCCTGATGCGAGTTTTCTATTGTATTTTTGTGAAAGAACTTTCTGTACAAATGGAAAGGTCCTAGCATACAATGAGCTTAGTTTGTAGAAATTGCATTTAAAAATATAAATATAGATGATATAGAAGCCATAAGTTAGTCAAAGAATTTTCATTTGTTGCTAATAGCGAGGCAAAATTTAGTGTACCAAAAGATTTAGTTGAACTGGTTTGGTTCTATGGAAAAATTTAGTTGACTTCGATAATTCACATTGAGAATTAGTTGATTTTGTTCCAATTCTCAGTGCTCAATGGAGAACCAAAATAATAATAATAATAATAATAATAATAATAATAATAATAATAATAATAATAATAATTCTTTACTTGTGTCAATTGTTTCTCTTTAGGTGGTGCATCACGCCATAATGAAACCTCAACCTATACTTATGCCAATTTTTTCTTTAGGTGGTGCATCACACCATAATGAAACCTCCTTAAACTATACTCTTAAGTCATGATAACAATATTTATTTACATGTCAATGGCAAACTTGTCTTCCTCATTCTCCTCATAGTTAAAGCCCTAATTTTGAACCTAAATATTAATAATTCCCTAATAATCTAAAAATCATACTTAAAAATCCAAATTGTAGATTTTACATTTAAAAATTCATATGTCTACGGTTTACAATTAAATATTGATACATTTAAATTATTAATACATCTACATATTAATTTTTAACTAAATGTTAGGTATAAAACTAAAATTGAAACTTTGAAAAATTAAAATACATTAGGGAACCAAATCGAGCTATGTTTAGAACTTTCTTCGCTTGTTCATGACTCTCCGATGTGTTTAATTTAATGATGTATGTCACAACTTAGATGGTTAGACCTATCTTAAATTCTAGTGTGAAGCATGTTTTTTCATGAAAGTTGTGACATTTAATAATAAGTTATACACACTCTTATCTCACTAGTGCAGAATATGAAATTGTGAGCTATTAATAATATTGATCCAACTCAACCAAGTGTAAAAAATCACCAAAAGTGCAAAATTTTTAAAAAGAGCATAGATTTTTTACTGGGTCCGGATGTTGAGGCACCAAGGCCTATTACCCCCTGAGATGAACTAGTAAATTACTAAATTTTGCTCTACACTGTTATAAAATGATCACAACCAAGATTGGAGGTCCAAAAGCAAAACAATACATCCAATGACATAAGAACTCTCATAACTCTCGAAATACAACACTCGCTCTTATAGATTCGCCAAGAATATATTACTAATTCCACTACCTTTAACATGAATAATATAGCAACACCAACTATACAAAGTAACTCTAATATCATTTATTAAGAATAAGAAAGGACTCAAAGATAATCTTTAAAGAGAGAGAGTGAGAAATGAGCTGTGAATGTGTTGGTTACTGATGACCCTTAATCTGCGTCGCACATGCAACCTGTTGGTATCAATCTCGGGTTACGATGTTAAACTTGGGAATATATTTCATATGCTTTGGCTGATGGGTGAAATAATTATTAGCAACTAAATTCAAAGGCTCTACCCGGCTCATTTATATTACCTCTTGGATGACTTTAATTCTTGGCCCATTTAGCTTAGTTATTGGTCTAATTAAAAGTCTAAAATAATTCTACTTATATGTGTTTTACCCTAGCCGTTTTTTAGAGTGTGATATGTGGATGAACATAGAAGAAAAACGTGGCCTCTTCTTTGTGAAAAATCGACTGCCATAGTGTGTCCAAAAATCTGGGATTTCTTTGTGCATTCGGTCTCCTTTTGCATCCATTCTTCATTGTCTTTCTCCTTGTATTTGTGGTTACAAGTCATTATCTTTATTTTGGCTTTTGTGGTTGAGATTGAGAAACAATCGAAGTGAATATATTGGTTGTGGATTGGAGCCGGTTAGATTGGTTATGTGGTAGAGAAAAGCAACGTTAAATTGAGCTCGAAAAATACAATTTGACAATCCTTGGAGCAAGTTTTAGTGACAATTGGTATCAGAGTTTTAAGATGGTGATTTTGCTTAAAAAATGACAAAAAACTGTTCAGAAAATCGGCAGAAACAATGTTGAAAAAAGAACGAAAAGTTTTCTAGAAAACTACCCAAAAACCGAGGTTGTTTTCTCAATTTTTGGCCAATCCAGAAGGAGTTTGGTTAAACGGAGACCACCGACGTGACGTGCAGGTGAAGGCGAACCTAGATGACCGACATCACGTGCGACTATGCTTGTAGCCCATACGCAGAGGATATTGGTCGCGCAAGGGGCGCGTGAGAAGAATTTGGGCGACAGTCTCTTTTAACAGTTTTGTTCCTAACATCATTTATGATATTTTGATGTTATTAGTTTTCAGTTTCAAGTTATCTAGCGAAGTTTGGACAATTTTGTTCTTCGCGCATTTGGATTCGATTGTGATTGATTGATCCCTACTATTGCTGGAAACTTTAGGAGGAATAAAGGTGGTCCTAAAGTGATAAATTAGCATCTCTCAAAATTTACGGACTCAAACATGGTTTGTTGGGTATCGTGTTCTTTGCCTTTTATTATTGCAGTTAAAATTATCATGTATGGTAATAATTTATTTTTTGCACTAAAAGTCATCGTGTAGGGTGCCGTTTGGTTTGATATTATTGTGAAGGAGTAACTATTGTCTATTTCTAGAATTAGGAATTATGTAACTTAGATTCTCTGTAAATTGCCAATCTTTTCTTCAATGTTAGAATTGCATATGACTTTAGAAAATATTATTTGATTATTCTGTGTGAATTATGTATGTACCTTGTTTGTGGTCATTATTTGATATTGAAGGCATATGTAAGTCTAAGACAAGTGCGAAAAGTAAGATGTGTTTTAACTACGGTAAATTTGGACATGTTAAGATAGATTGTCCTATGAATGATAATAAAAGAAAGGATAAGATGAGAGATGAGACGAATTTGACTATAGGGTAAAGTGATGACCCTGGTGAGGTTTATTGAGAACAAACCTACTTAGTACATGTGCATTTGTGTGTAATCATTTCTACATATGTGTGATTGCTTTATTGTATTTTGTTGATATGTTACACTTTCAAGTTGTTTTATGTTAAACTGATCTTATTAGTTTGCGTAATGTTTGCACACATACTGGGTTGAGATACATTAACAGTGTATTGTATGTCTTTTGGTGAAGTGGAGTATAGATGCCTAGGGGTACATTGTGGTTTGTATCGAGAATGTGAAGTGTGATAATTGAATCATGAGTGGAGAGGTGATTAATTATTGGAATCCTTTATCTGTAAAGAGATCTGATCAGATGGAGTATGGGAGAGGTACTTCTATCACTTCTGTTAGGTGGAGACCCATTATCCACATAGGTTGGAAAAAGTTATGTGGTGATGGAGGATTATCCCGTAGACTTAGAATCTGTTGTGGCTTACCAGTTAAACATGAGTTAGTGATCTGTCTAGTGAGCATGACGGGCGATGAGAGGAGATATGTGTTCTCGAGGTGTGAGCAATATTGAATGAGATAGGATAAGTATAGTGAGATATTTTTTTGAGGTCATTTATGCATTTGTTGCATATGTGTTGACCGTTTGTTAATTAACTTAGTGCTAGTTTGTTGTTGTGTGTTATCCCATATTATATCGTTATCGCATGATTATTTGCTTTTAATTGTTCACCGTGATTATCGGCTCCCATGATGTGTTTCGAGTTCGAAACATGAGGTAAGGTCTGTGATTTCAATTTTATTGGCTACCTTGATTATGCAAGTAATAATTATGTATTTTGATTGCTTACAAATTTATTGGTCATCAAGGTGGAGATTTGTTGGATATTGATACCCAATAAATCTCTACCTATGATGTTAAACGAGAGAATATATTTTATATGTCTCAACCCATGAGTGAAATAATTATCAACAACCAAGTTCAAAGATTCTACTCGGCCCATTTATATTACCTTTTAGATGACTTTGAATTTGAATTTTGACTCATTTAACTTTGTTGTTGGTCCAATTAATAGTCTAACCTAACCCAACTTATATGTGTTTTACCCTAGTCGTTTTTTAGTGTGTGATTTGTAGATGAACATAGGAGAAAAACGTGGCCCCTTCTTTATGAAAAAATCAGCTGCCCAAGTGTGTCAAAAAATCAGAGGATTTCTTTGTGAATTTGGCCTCTTTTTGTGTCCATTCTTCACTGTCTTTCTTCTTGCCTTAGTGGTTGCAAATCATCACTGTTATCTTGTCCTTTGTGGAAGAGATTGAGAAGCAATGAGGTGAATATATTGGTTATGGATTAGAGTCGGTTGGATTGATTGTTTGATAGAGAAATGTAACATTAAACTGAGCTCGAAAAACACCGTTTTAACGATTTTTGGAGCAAGCTTCCGCGACACAACCATTCAAGAATCATTGTCTAAAGGACACAATTGAACCACATGGTGACAATCGAGCAAAGTTGGGCTATTAATCAAAGCCAATTAGAGAATGGCAACATCCTGACTTTATCTTAGTTGGTCCTCAATCTTTAACGTTGCATATTATGTGATACCGCCATATTCTGTAATGTTATCCTCAAACTTAATTCTAACATGATTGTGATCATTTAAGGTCATTTTGATCATTTAAGGTCCTATTGATCGATCTCTAGACTGTAGAGGCGTTTATCGAACTAACCATTAATCAATAAAAGATACGAGAGAGGACAATCACTAAATGATAACCGATCAGCATGACGTAAGGTTAGACTCTTACGCCTAGATCGACAATCCTACTGCCAATGGCACGATTATTTAGAACAATACCCATATCTTCATAGACAAGCACACGAATCGACCAGCATCATCATGTGTTCGAACAAATATAATTATATAGTGCATCTAGTTGTTAAGATAGAGAGCCAATCGAGATGTAGGGCGATAAATTTCGTACGCAATTTAATCTTGTAGTACATAAAGCAACAGATCCATTAAAAAGTCGTTTTCTAGTAAAGGTGAGTGAATTCACCGACTAAAGCCCGAACCTTGTGATGTATTGCGTGTCAAGTGTACAGTCTAAGTAGATCCAGCCCAAGATTACCCTTCACTTGCAAGACGAATTGTTGACTCATGGTGTGTAGGAGGTGCCACGTGGATTTCTCACCGACGAAGCTTTCAGAATCAGCTGCCAATGACAACAAAACTTTGACTCATGGCCTGTAGGGTGTGCCGCGCGGATTTCTATTCGACAAAGCTTTCAGAACCATGATCGACCAAGTGACCGTTTTACCCTTTTAAAGAAAATAACAAAGAGGACTATAAAATAGAAATAGTTTTATCTAGTCAATGGTTATTTTGCAATTCACCAATTTTAGGAAAAAAAAAATTAATCAAAATATTTAATAAAATTCTAATTTTTACATATTTTGTTTTAATTACAACATTGCACATTCTACTGAAAGATATCTCTGTTGTGTAAAGTTTCAATTTTTATCCATTCCTTTCCTATTCTTGCTCAGATATTTTAATATTTTGAGTCCATTTCTTGAATTCATTATAATTGTTTGTAATTTAGTGCTTGTTTGGTAGGAATTTTGATAATGATTTTTTGACTATTAAAGATAAAGTGGGTCCTATTTATGAAAGAAGAATTTAAAAATGACGACTGGAATAGTAAAATAACGATCAAAAAATTAATTTTAATTGACTTAAAATCTATACTAAACAAGCACTTAATTTTTTGGGGATTTGCATAATTGGTTTTCAAATCAATTGCTCTAGAAGCAAGTTGGTCCAAATCTGTATCATTTCAATAAATTTATATAATCAGTGTTCTCTGAACTAAACTGTCGTAACGCTATCAAATTATCGCATGACTTTCATAAATTTGTAAAATTAGTTAAGTTTGTGCAAATTTGGACGTTATATTGATTGTGAAATGTTGGACAATAAATTCTTACTTATTAAAGACTGAGATCCACTCGTAATCGAGACAATAAATTCCAACTGTCAAGTTCCCCTTTCCCTCCTAGTCTGAGGGTGGAAAACTAATGGTAGTGAAATGTAAGAATAGAAGAAAGAAAGAAAAATAAATAGATAAAAGGGAGGGAGAGGGTGAAGGGTAATTTAGTCAATTAAGGACTTTCATTCCCCAGTAATCAAATACCAAAATAAAAAATTTTCCGCTCTCTAAAAACTCACTTCAAAACCTTCGTCCATAAGCACTCCTCTCTCTCAGATCCACATCTCTATCATTTTTCTGCACAAAATATTCACTTTGTACACATATACATATACCTATACATAAACAGATACGTTTATATAGTGTACGTGGGAGAATGGGTGGAGTGCCATCGACGCCGCTACTGAGCGGAGGAGCGCGGCCGCAGGAGACAGCGGAGTATCTAATTGGAGAGTTTGTTGGGGAGAAATCGTTCCCTTTGGGATCCGATTACTGGAAGAAACTGCTCGAGCTCTCCCTCAATCTGCGATGGCCCTCTCATCGTGTTCGCGAAGCTTGCCGGCTCTTCGGTCAGTGATTTTTCATTTGCTTCCTTGTTTAAATTCTGTTCTTATTGTTTATGGAAATCGCATTGTGTATAAGATGTGGTTAGTCGCGTTTGGAATTTGTACTTGAAATTTATCTTTTTTTTTTTTTTTTTTGGTTGCGTATTAACGCTAAGCGTTGTTTTGAAATTGAGTTCACGATTATTTCATGAATGATTTTAAACGGCTGAAGAAACCGGTTAAAATAGTGCAATAATAATTAAAATCCCTATGAATGATTAGAAATCACGGATGAAGGTCGGAGTTTTTTTCTCTATTTCTTTTCTTATTGGTACGGTATATATTGCAAATTCTGTTAGAAAAGTCATGGTTATTGTTATATATCTTGAATTGTCTTGTTTATGAGCTCATCGTCAAATTCTGCTATTAAAATGGGAATTGATTCAGAGAATTTTCAATGAAGAGGTTGACTCTCTTAGGGTTTCTGTACAGATTTTTGAGGTTAATCTTAATGGGTTCAACTCAGTTTAGATTTTTTATGTGTGTCTTGTGATCTTGGTAGCATAAGAGATAAAATTGAATGGTATTATTTAGATTAAGGTTAAACAATATTTAGCTATCTACATGTATAATAGGCATATTAGTCCCTTTTTATCCCATTTTACAGTTACAGTGCTTGTAAGCATTTCCTGGTGTTGAACTTTTCTGTTGTTTTATACACTTGGGAAATAATCAATGAGTCCATGTTTAGTCTCACAGCTTCAAGGCGTATATACGGTTTTGGTTTTGATTCAACTGGAGGAAGACTTAATAAACACACAATGCATGCAGCTATGTTTACAGCCTTGTCTGATTTAGTTTAGCCAAAGGAGAAGCTTCATTTAATTTAATTAGCCCTTGTTTGAGCTCCATTTTTTTTTTGGCCAAAATGCATTCTGGAGCAGTGTTTTGTTGAAGAATGTGTGGTTAAAAAGTAATGAAAAGTTTTGGGTTTGCGTGCAAAATTATTCTCTAGGAGAATTTGTGGTTAAAAATGAATTTTGAAAAAATGAATTTTTGGAAAAAAGGGAGCGAAACATAGGCTTAGTAAACTGATCCCCCTTGGATGGTGGTGTCTGTTTCTGCCAACCATCTGCAATCATCCCAGGAGATCCAAGGGATCAATTTATAGTCAGATTTCTTTTTCATATAGTAATCCTTCTACCCTTACTTTAGTACCTGCAGAAATTTTATGAGAAAGCATCAAATTACTATGTTCGTTGAGCTTGCTTGGCTAAGCTTTTAAGTGCTTATAAGCAATCAATACTAAGGAATGTGTGATTAAATAGTAGGTAAAATTTATGGGTACCACGGATGACAATAGAGTTTGAACTGCTTATAAGCTACTATAAGCTTTGGCAAACTTGCAATTAGCTTTTAGGTAATTTAAGTACCCTATCAATTTTTCTATATTTTATGATGTATGGATTTTTCACCACAACATACATGGTGCAACTAAAAGGAACTTATCACCTCATCAGGGTTTTTGGTTGCTTTATAAGATCAGTTTGGAACATAGAGCCCTTTTTTCACCCTCTTTTAATGTCACGAGGAGGCAAAACAAAGACTTGCACAGTTACGTATGATCTGACATACAGAACATCATCTTGAAACAAGAAAACAAAGCAAGAAGTTTTCAACTGTCCATGATACTTTATGTTTATCTGTCTATTGTGCTGTCTGCAGTGGTGAACAATTGTTACACTAGACACCTTGCGAAGATTCTAATTCACCTAGCATGGTGTTTGCAAGAGTGTGTTTCTGCTTCTGGTGTGCCATCCCCAGCGTTTTCAAAAGCTCTCAATGCATTGTATGTATCCTCTGTTTTTCTGAAGTATCTGATTGAGAATGCTAAGAGTGAAAACTTCCAAGAACTATACCTGTCGCTGGATGAAAGTGAGGCAATACCAAATAATTTCTCCAAAGGTTTCTTCTATGCATCATAATTAAGGCTTTTACTTTTAGATGAATTCTCTTTTACTCCATTCATTTTAATCACACGTATGGTTTTACTTTATTTTTTCATTTTTCTTGCCAAAGCAGGTGAAGATATTGCATACCTCATCATGCACAGTGCTCTTAACTTTCTTGGCAGAGTTGATGTACGGTATGTTTGGACAGTTCATTAATCCATTGATGCCCTGCATTATATTTATTATTCACCTGATTTCATTCCATTTCTCCGCTAGCCCTGATACGTATCTTCTACATCATGAGCTGCTTAACTTCATACTTATCACCATGTCAACTCAGCTTCTTGCTGGGCCGTCACCAGGACCAAGTGATGTTCACCCTTTTATTGATGCAGCTATGGTTCAGGTGAAATTCTTTTTCCTATATGACAATTTACTATGGTTCGGTGAATTCAAGTAGCTTTACTGGCTTCAGTGCTGATGTAATAGTTCATTAACTTGTTTCTGCAGGAAAGTTCTTTGGTTGGTTTAGTTGTTCGCAAGCTATTGCTCAATTACATCACACGCCCTTGGTTTCCTGTGATGAGTTCATCTTTTACCATGTTTTCTGAAGGAAATCAGCCTGGTGTTCTACAGCGAGTTGGCTCTGCAGCCGGTATGATAATGTTGTGCATTTCCACAGTTTAACATTCACAAATATGCATTTAAACGTAGGGATAATTGCAGCCAGGGCCCAAACCTTTCAAGTGCATCCGACCGGAGGACAAATGGATGTTTGACCACATTTTTGACAATTTCAAAGAGGGGCGAAATTGTTATTAAAATAATTAAATAAAAAATCCAAAGAAAAAAAAGAAACGAAAAAACTGAAAACCTTCTTCCCCAATTCCCCTCCCTGACCACTAGTTGACCATCGCCCAACCACATACGATGTCGGCAGTTTGCGGTGGTGCCAATGGTTTGAGCTTGCGGTTTCTCGCTCTTCCTCCAATTTTTTTTTTCAATCTGCGTATTTATTTCCTCTTTCTTGCACCCAAATATACACAGTATTCAAAGAAATGCTTGAACGATGTTTACACTCATCACAACTCATGCCCATGTTATTGAAAAAGAAGAAAAAGTTTTCAATCTACGTGTAATATTATTTTATGAAAGATTGTGTGGTTGAAAATAAGAGAGAAAATTATAATTTGAAATAATGGGGGACAAATGAGGGCCTAGTTACCCTTCCCAATTTCGTGTATACAATCTCAAAATAGGGCTTCAAAGATATTGAATAGTTGCAATTTTCGGCCGTTCTTTGTGGTTTCATGAAGACAAAAGGTTGAGGAAATTTGATAGTAACGGCAGTTTTAGTTGCTTTAAGCATAGCCTCGTGCTTAACAATAGCTAGTCCTACCTCTGGTCGAGTATAGCATATCCGCTTAAACTCTAGGACTTCCCTTCCCACCACAGAGAGAAAGAAAAGTCAATGTTTGCTTTACCCCCTTCCCTTAAATAGTTCCGTCCTAGGAGTTGTTATAAGACTTGCATTATACATAAAATTTCGATATGACAGTGGGTCGCCTGGGATTCGAACCTGGAACTAGTCGGATGGAGTAGATAATTTCCTTGTTATGTTAATTAAATAAGGAAAAACCCCTCCCCAAGCCATGTTTGCATTTTTCATTGCACACGGCTTTCCCTATGTATACATCATTTCCTTTCTTATAAAGACTTTAAAAGGCGGAGATGATGGAGTTCATGGAGAAATCGGAGAAGCTGTCAATGTTTCTGACAAAGGAAGAGTTGCTCAAAGCTGGAAGAATGGATTTGGTGGAGGCTATAAAGAAGATATGGCATCATGTGGTTGGAGGGTGGGGTGTGTTGGGGGAATTAAGGGGATAAAGGTTTTAGTTTTTCCTTCCTTTCTTGGTTTTTTATTCAATTATTTTAGTTCTTAATATGGTAAATATAAAATCACAATTTTGCCCTCTTTGAAATTGTTAAAAATGTGGTCAAATTTAATTTTTTGGTCAATTAATGAAAAAATGGAAGGATTCTATCCATTTGTCCTCCAACCGCACGCACTTGAAAGGTTTGAGACCACATGTGCAACAAATGAAATGTTAAGGTAAAACTTGCCAAGATTTGAAAGGTTTCTGGCCGTAGTTGCAATTATCCCTTAAATGTATTGACTTCCCTTTTTGGATGGATATTTATTCCTTCCAGGAAATTTTCAAAGAAACAAAACAATGTTCTTTTCACTGTTCATTCTGTTATTCAAGACAAATGAGGAAATACTATTTATCTCAGTTTTTATTTTGTGACTACATTTGTAGTGTGGCTTTGGATGTAACATCCATTAAAATGCCTGTTTGCACCACAATTGCCAAACTTCCAGATAATCTGTTTGTGCTTTTAGTTCCTATACTCTGTCACATCATTCCATAGAAGAACAAGAAGTATCATTCACTATCAGCTGCTTGCATTCATGTGTTTCTTAAAAATGACCGTGAAGCCTGCAATTGCAATGGTGTGAATTTATTCATTCTAACTGAAATATAATGCCTCCTTGCAGCAAACTTGATGCTGTTGCCGTTCAATTACTTAGTTAGTTCTACTGGTGAAGCTTCAAGAAGTTCACTGGCGGAAAACAGTCTTAACATTTTACTTATTCTTATCCATTATCGAAAATGTGTTGCGATGGACTATGTGAAGGATAAAACTGATAACAGCACTTCAGATCCTCTTTGTAAGGAAGAATCATATTTCTTGGAGAATCCTTTCTGCAAAGCAGTAGAAAATGCTCGTGATATTCAATGTGAGATCTTCTAGTTTGTTATAATCGAGATTCTTTGATGTAGTCACTAGTTCTCAGGTCTGAGTGGTCTGCCTGCAGTTGACAGGGAGGATGTTGAAGGGAATGCACACAATGGTCTAATTGTGAGACTACCTTTTGCTTCATTATTTGATACTCTTGGCACGTGAGTGTTATGTTGCCTTCTGCTTAGCATAGGAAATTCATTTGTTAATTTGGTGGCTGCTTTTTTTTTTCTTTTTTTTGCCCCTAAAATTGGCATCTTGGGTCTGTGTTTTACCATTGAAATGTTTGGTGTGGGTAAAGTCAATATGTAACTCTGAAATAGAATATTTCAGTTGAACATTCAATGACTATATATCGTGTGGATTTTAGTTGGTTAATGCTTAGTCCTCAATTACTTATGCAAGTTCTAGTTGTCCATTTGAAGAAGTTTTTTGCTATATTGTTTATTGCAGTTTCAAACTTGATATCTCATTCTTATATGACTTCACTTTTGATTTCTTGCATGAGATTTCTTTAAATAAGTTTGAGTTCGAGTAGTAGCATGCACACAGAATATGTGATTGCTCATGTCTGGAAAGCTTAAAAACCTTTATGCCTTTGTTTTGTGATTTAATCCCATTTGGGGTTTTTGTTCTCAGATGCTTGGCTGATGAAACCTCTGTTCTGCTCCTTTACTCATTGGTGAATGGAAATTCAGATTTTCTCGAGTATGTTCTGGTGCGAATTGATCTGGATACACTGGTATGAAACAGAGTCTATTACATCCATGACCACAAGGGAAATGGAAAGATTAAATGATTGTTATCATCTATGGACAATAATACTGATGAATAAATAAAGAATAATGTAGAAGCATTGTAATCTTTTTTAATTTTAAAAGTTAGAGTTGTAATAATTTAGATAATAAATGGCATCTATTGACCCTTACGGAACATAAAATCCTATCAAGTTTATGACATTTCTCGCTTGGCACTTTATCTATCTGCATTGTGTATATGTATTTCTATGACCGTTCGTGGAGGTTTTATTTTTATTTTTTCTATGGTTTGATGTTTCACCTATGGAAAGCATTTACGGTTTCCCATAAAGTTATTTTAAGCAATGATACAATTTCTGATCCTTATTTGAATGATTTTTAATCAAGGTGAGGAAAAGATCATTATTCTCACAAATTCCTATTTTTTGACTTAAATGATAGTATGATATCTAATTTTGTGATGATCAACAGCTGATTCCGATGCTGGAAACATTATATAATGCACCGAGAAGGACATCCAATCATATCTATATGGTGCTGATTATCCTTCTTATACTAAGTCAGGATTCCTCTTTTAATTCCAGCATCTACAAATTGGTAAAGTAACTTTAGATATCCTCATTATTAGTTAACTTATTCAGGGGCCTATATACTGAGTTAATCTTTCTCCAACAGGTTCTACCTAATGTTCCATGGTATCAAGAACGACTTCTTCATCAAACATCTCTTGGTTCTCTCATGGTCATAATTTTAATTAAAACAGTGAAATACAATCTCTCTAAGCTGCGGGTACGAACTGGAGCATCTACTTTAGTTCATTTTCTTTGTCCTTTATTTTCCCATTAACCACTTTATAGGTCTTTTGATATACTTCTGTTGTCATTTGCTGCTTCTGAAGCATTATCTTTCCTGTGAAGACATTATATATGCCAGAGAAGTTTGCTTTAGAAGGATCATCTTGAAGTTTTGAAGTGTATTTGTAGAAGGAAAGTGAGGTTCAAATAGGAGAGCACAAGAGTCCCAAACTTAGTTCCCCCAGTTGTATTTTGTAGCTTTGTCGATTACTACCTCCCCAAGCTCATTTCCTATTCAAGACGCCCATAAATAGTGACCACCACTGTATTGCTAGTGTCTGAAAGGCTTTGTAATCAACACACAATTATATTTAACCAAAAATTAGAAAAAAATTTGTCCTTGTTACTTATTGCATTTGCATCTTGTATATTAAGGAATTATAGCAGCAATAACACAGTTATTCTTGTTCAAATGGACAATAGGTGGTACATTAATTGATTAGTATTTCTTAACATGTTTAATTGAACAGGATGTTTATCTCCATACAAATTGTCTTGCAACTTTGGCAAATATGGCACCTCATGTTCACCGTCTAAGTGCATATGCATCACAGCGGTTGGTTAGCCTTTTTGATATGCTTTCGCGCAAGTACGTCTCCTCTTTATTGTTTTATGTTCATGTAATCTTATTACATGTTAAATACTCGACTGGATTAACTTATTTTAAATTATTATGCTACTTTGGTTTTTCTGATGTTGATTTCAATTTAGGTACAATAAATTAGCAGAGATTAAAAATGACAAGATGCATATAGCAGACAGTGAGCTAAGAGGAGATAATCTTCCAGATGATTCAGTAAGGCAGTTGTCAAATTATTTTGTTGATTTCGGCTATTTCAATTCCATGCAAAGTAATAGGCTGTTAACCAATAGACGTTTTCTCCAGGCTGCAGAACTGCACCTATATGCTGATTTCTTGAGACTTGTACTTGAAATACTAAACGCAATATTAACTTATGCCTTGCCACGGAATCCTGAGGTATAATTGATTCCTTTAGATACTCAGTCAAGGCATAGTATTTTTTTTATCTATATAGCGTCACAGTTTATATTGCGTACGTTTTCTTATATGTTCTACTGTCGCTTGGCTTTTTAGGTGGTTTATGCAATTATGCACAGGCAGGAGGTTTTCCTACCTTTCAAGAATCACCCACGTTTTAACGAGCTGCTGGAGAACATTTTTACTGTACGATACCTTTCTAGAATATTCTATTTTGTTACTCGTTTCTCTGTATCAGATATAGGCTAGGCTAGCTGATACAAATAGGAAATGTGCTTTGTCTTTATGGATGTTAATAGACTGAGCTGTTTCAATTTTGCAGGTCTTGGACTTCTTCAATAGCCGCATGGATGCACAAAAGATGGATGGTGAATGGTCAGTTGAGAAAGTGCTTGAAATCATAATAAATAACTGTCGATCTTGGAGAGGTGAAGGCATGAAGGTAGGTGCAAAGCAATGCTTATGTATCTTAGTTAAATGTAGTATTTTGTGATGCCTAGTTTTCATATTGGTATTTTCTTAACCCCTTTTCTTGGTCTTGGAAAGATGTTTACACAATTACGTTTCACCTACGAGCAAGAGAATCATCCTGAGGAATTCTTCATACCATATGTGTGGCAGATTGTATTGTCTCGCAGGTAACATTATAAAAAACATAAAAATTAATGCCAAAGAACCAAACTTTACTTTTATCCGTTCGTTAATCTTTTTTCATGTTCGTATGCAGTGGATTAAGTTTCAATCCCACCAGCATAAATTTGTTCCCGGTAGAACTACCCACGAGTGTAAGTTTTATCTTCTATTTTATTGAAGCTGTTTGTTTTGTCTTCTACTTTGTGAAACCAATTAAGCACCTGTTTGATGCCCCATTATTTGGGATTTTCAATGTTTTCAATAGTTATTTTTTAGAGAATGTGCAAAATATTTTATTTTGTAAATGAGTAGTTGAAAATGAGTCCGTAGAAAAAAGAGTTTTGAAATGAAGGATGTCAAACTCAGACGGGCAGCTGATTCTGATACCAATATCTACATATTCTTTTCTCTCACCCTCAGTTTCCATTTACATTCAGTATTAAGATAAGATATTCTAAATACGTAGTGTCTAATAGGAATAAGCTAGATAAGATTGATGATGGATTGATTGTTGTACTGGAAAACAGGATATTTACAGTGGAGGGGACATAGGGAAGCTCCAGAATGAACAGACGGTGGAGGTGCCGGTATAGTGAATCAAAAGGCCAACTGAAGAAAAAGTTTATGTACATAAATATAATAGGAATTTTCGATTTGTTTTTTTATACGATTGGTTGAGTGTAAAAAGGTCTTATGTTTTTTTGGTGATTATGGTCACTGTTGTAATGAATAAGAGAGATTGCTGAAATGACAAGATCGAAAAAGAAATGAGCATATTATTTTATTGTAGAGTAATTTAAAACTTCCTTCATCCATCCAATGAAGTCAAGTTTCCTTATGAATGTCCAATTTTCAGCTAAACGTTTTTATCTTATAGAATATCATTTTCCTTTTATGATGATAAATGAAAAAGCACAAAGCATGAAATAGTAGTAATATTATCGCACCGTATCAATTTAGTTTTACTCCAAAAATATATTTGGTGATGAAGATGTGGCATGTCAACGGTCGGGACGACACCGTGTTACTGGGGAAATGGTATAATATTTTATTTTGAAAAAAAATCATATTTACTAATGTTTAAGAATATAATTTCAAAATTAACAAATATTTGAAAAAATTTCAAATATGAGATGGTAACATTTGTGATCTTTGATAAATATCGACTTATGGATTAAATTATACATGGGGACGGTGCAAGTGGAGACAATGAAATTCAATTACAACGCTTTGGCGCAGCCTAGACTTGCCCCCTTCTTAGCCCTTAATTATATAGGTTATAGCCATATGTCTCACAATTTAAGGACGAAACTCAAGTACTAGTCATTAGTCAGTCATATCACATATATCACGCAACTTATAGTTACAATCACATATTAGTCATCAATCAAACAATTAATTGACCAAAAATCATTTATTAGTTACTTATCATACATTTAACTAAGAGTTACAACTGGCCAAAAATATTTGTCAGTGTCATTTCATTCATTTAACTAGTCAGAGTTACAACTGGGCTGATTCTTTCTAATCACTCCTACGAAGGGAAAAAAAAAAAAAAACGACATCCCACTGAAATGGAGACATCAATTGTCGGACGAAGTTTTGGGGAGTATCCTTTAGAAATGGAGACCAAAGTGCTGGACCCAAAAAAAGTCTCAGAACATAGTTTCCAAATAGATTAATGGGACAAAGGGTCGCGATCCCACGAGCCCCTTGACAAATCACCATTGCCCTCTCCGAAGCACTAGTTTTGCCGTTATATAATCGAGATGCACGAAAGTGTGCGGAGCCAGAAAATTCGTTCAGTGCGGGCATAATTTAACCCACGTTGAACATTGAGTTTTGGTCATAAATTTAATGATGATAAAACTATAAAACAAAATCGCAATAATGCTAAAAATGGCATATTTTATAATTAAATGTGTTCCTTGCAAATTCCATACTTTAATATCATTGTACAATAACATTAATCAAGTAGTTGAAAGCAAAAACAAGTATTTAGAAGCAAAAGTAAGCGAAATTTAAATCAAACTATGCCTAAAATCAAGCAGAATCATGGACTATTGTTAATATTTGAAAAAAATAAAAAATAAAAAAGTTATTGGATTGGGCCTGAAAGTGCAGATGCCCGCACTGGACATAATAAGGCTCCGCCCTGCACGAAACTAACCAAACTAAAAATGAAAAACAAAAAGAGTACCTGAATTGCCATTTCTTTTCCTTGAAAAACATTTCAACTCCCACCTAATCAGCCTATCTTTTTCCATCATTCTGTGGAGCAGCACGGGCATTGAAGTGATGGAAAATAGTGTCGGTTCGCAGAGATCCATTCTGTCAATGAGACTGTCGAAGATTGTTGAAGATTACGACTATATTATTATTATTATTATCATCAAATATAGATAGATTGATTTTACCATATTTAGTTATGATTTTGCTTTTATATAATGGGAGAACCTATCACATCGAGGGGACATCAAGTCTTATTAAGTATTAATCTGTATATTTGACATGGTATTAGAGCCAATTGCTTAAAATTTTTACTCATTTTCTTGGTAGGATTTTCTCATGGCAGGAGGAGCTTTTTGTCTACATCGAATTGAGCCAATTGTTTCATTTTCTTTTTCAAAATCAACATCAAATTAGTAGTCTTTGTCCACATATATAAACCACATTTTGCCAAACAGACCCACTAAACTCATTAGCCCAAATTGATGGCCAAAACAGAAAAGTTTATTTATTTTTCATCCGTTCAACCTACCCTCTGGGATTTCAACAACGATTGCCAAAGAGAACTATTGAAAATGTCAAATGGTGGCACCACCAATTCCGGCACCAATGGCAGCCCAATATACGGCGACCCCACCAGCACTCACCAGACCCGTGTTCCTGACTTAATAAACGACGCCGAGAAATCATTAGATCATGTGCAGATTTTTTGCTATAATTCTTGAGAAGATGATGAAGTTGATTTGCATTGTGATGCTAAGTAGTTGGCCGATGACAGGAATTGACGATATTGACGAGTAGTCTCCCTCAATCTGCGATGGCCCTCTCATCGTGTTCGCGAAGCTTGCCGGCTCTTCGGTCAGTGATTTTTCATTTGCTTCCTTGTTTAAATTATGTTCTTATTGTTTATGGAATTCGCATTGTGTATAAGATGTGGTTAGTCGCGTTTGGAATTTGTACTTGAAATTTATCTTCTTTTTTTTTTTGGTTGCGTATTAACGCTAAGCGTTGTTTTGAAATTGAGTTCACGATTATTTCATGAATGATTTTAAACGGCTGAAGAAACCGGTTAAAATAGTGCAATAATAATTAAAATCCCTATGAATGATTAGAAATCACGGATGAAGGTCGGAGTTTTTTTCTCTATTTCTTTTCTTATTGGTACGGTATATATTGCAAATTCTGTTAGAAAAGTCATGGTTATTGTTATATATCTTGAATTGTCTTGTTTATGAGCTCATCGTCAAATTCTGCTATTAAAATGGGAATTGATTCAGAGAATTTTCAATGAAGAGGTTGACTCTCTTAGGGTTTCTGTACAGATTTTTGAGGTTAATCTTAATGGGTTTAACTCAGTGCAGATTTTTTATGTGTGTCTCGTGATCTTGGTAGCATAAGAGATAAAATTGAATGGTATTATTTAGATTAAGGTTAAACAATATTTAGCTATCTACATGTATCATAGGCATATTAGTCCCTTTTTATCCCATTTTACAGTTACAGTGCTTGTAAGCATTTCCTGGTGTTGAATTTTTCTGTTGTTTTACACACTTGGGAAATAATCAATGAGTCCATGTTTAGTCTCACAGCTTCAAGACGTATATACGGTTTTGGTTTTGATTCAACTGGAGGAAGACTTAATAAACACACCATGCATGCAGCTATGTTTACAGCCTTGTCTGATTTAGTTTAGCCAAAGGAGAAGCCTCATTTAATTTAATTAGCCCTTTTTTGAGCTCCATTTTTTTTTGGCCAAAATGCATTCTGGAGCAGTGTTTTGTTGAAGAATGTGTGGTTAAAAAGTAATGAAAAGTTTTGGGTTTGCGTGCAAAATTATTCTCTAGGAGAATCTGTGGTTAAAAATGAATTTTGAAAAAATGAATTTTTGGAAAAATGGGAGCGAAACATAGGCTTAGTAAACTGATCCCCCTTGGATGGTGGTGTCTATTTCTGCCAACCATCTGCAATCATCCCAGGAGATCCAAGGGATGAATTTATAGTCAGATTTCTTTTTCATATAGTAATCCTTCTACCCTTACTTTAGTACCTGCAGAAATTTTATGAGAAAGCATCAAATTACTATGTTCGTTGAGCTTACTTGGCTAAGCTTTTAAGTGCTTATAAGGAATCAATACTAAAGAATGTGTGATTAAATAGTAGGTAAAATTTATGGGTACTACGGATGACAATAGAGTTTGAACTGCTTATAAGCTATTATAAGCTTTGGCAAACTTGCAATTAGCTTTTAGGTAATTTAAGTACCCTATCAATTTTTCTATATTTTATGATGTATGGATTTTTCACCACAACATACATGGTGCAACTAAAAGGAACTTATCACCTCATCAGGGTTTTTGGTTGCTTTATAAGATCAGTTTGGAACATAGAGCCCTTTTTTCACCCTCTTTTAATGTCACGAGGAGGCAAAACAAAGACTTGCACAGTTACGTATGATCTGACATACAGAACATCATCTTGAAACAAGAAAACAAAGCAAGAAGTTTTCAACTGTCCATGATACTTTATGTTTATCTGTCTATTGTGCTGTCTGCAGTGGTGAACAATTGTTACACTAGACACCTTGCGAAGATTCTAATTCACCTAGCATGGTGTTTGCAAGAGTGTGTTTCTGCTTCTGGTGTGCCATCCCCAGCGTTTTCAAAAGCTCTCAATGCATTGTATGTATCCTCTGTTTTTCTGAAGTATCTGATTGAGAATGCTAAGAGTGAAAACTTCCAAGAACTATACCTGTCGCTGGATGAAAGTGAGGCAATACCAAATAATTTCTCCAAAGGTTTCTTCTATGCATCATAATTAAGGCTTTTACTTTTAGATGAATTCTCTTTTACTCCATTCATTTTAATCACACGTATGGTTTTACTTTATTTTTTCATTTTTCTTGCCAAAGCAGGTGAAGATATTGCATACCTCATCATGCACAGTGCTCTTAACTTTCTTGGCAGAGTTGATGTACGGTATGTTTGGACAGTTCATTAATCCATTGATGCCCTGCATTATATTTATTATTCACCTGATTTCATTCCATTTCTCCACTAGCCCTGATACGTATCTTCTACATCATGAGCTGCTTAACTTCATACTTATCACCATGTCAACTCAGCTTCTTGCTGGGCCGTCACCAGGACCAAGTGATGTTCACCCTTTTATTGATGCAGCTATGGTTCAGGTGAAATTCTTTTTCCTATATGACAATTTACTATGGTTCGGTGAATTCAAGTAGCTTTACTGGCTTCAGTGCTGATGTAATAGTTCATTAACTTGTTTCTGCAGGAAAGTTCTTTGGTTGGTTTAGTTGTTCGCAAGCTATTGCTCAATTACATCACACGCCCTTGGTTTCCTGTGATGAGTTCATCTTTTACCATGTTTTCTGAAGGAAATCAGCCTGGTGTTCTACAGCGAGTTGGCTCTGCAGCCGGTATGATAATGTTGTGCATTTCCACAGTTTAACATTCACAAATATGCATTTAAACGTAGGGATAATTGCAGCCAGGGCCCAAACCTTTCAAGTGCATCCGACCGGAGGACAAATGGATGTTTGACCACATTTTTGACAATTTCAAAGAGGGGCGAAATTGTTATTAAAATAAT